ATACGTATAGCTATATAGCCCAAAGGGAAAAGGAGAGACATTTGTTTTATTAGGTTTTCTGTATTTATTTATCTAGCAGTGACAGCGGAGACGCCTCTGTATTTAAAATCTGGACCCGTGAAGAAATTGCCCTGCTCTGCTATAATGGCAGCTAAATCATTTTTCAAATGTGACGCCACCGCCGCCGCCAGGCGTTGATAGTCGATGTTTACATCTGAGGTGACAGTTGGTGACTCACCCATAGGCTCTGCAGGGACAGGCTATATGTGTGTTTCCCGATCGGCCATCTTGGATTTCTCTCGTCGTTGTGAGGGGTCCGGTAATAGGGATTTTTTTTATGATTTGCGAGCGGGAGAGGAACTTGTCCATCACCCGCAGCAGGTCTCCGTGATACGGTAGTGCTGTATGAGGTAAAAAATTATCCGTACGTCTTGATTTATCCTGTGTTCCTGGTGTGTGGTGTCGGAGCCGAAATGCACACAGCTAATCCATAGGGCGCCGGAACCGGAAGTCTGTCTTTTCCTTTTTTTATTGTCTATCTTCATTGCTTGTTACTTGTAATTAAAAAAAACCAAAAAAACAAAAAAAAACCTTTATTAAAAATAAAGAATTTACAAAAAATAAACAAAAAGTCTGCAATATTAGGTGTCATGGTCCTTGGAATACTTTATCTCCTGGGACATCTCTGTGTCATTATACATATCAGCCCTCCCATTCAAGCTATCGGACCAATCCCCGCTGACCCTGTTTCGAGTCCTCATTTGCATGGCCAAGAGGACCTAAGCGAGGACTAGAGGGGACTTTACAATTGACCAATAGGAAGGTGGTCGGTTGGGCCACCTTCAAACTGTTGTTTATAAAAGTGTGCGTGTGCATCCAATAAAGGAGATTCCTGTTTGAACTTCCATACAGCCGGCCTGGTGTTTGTTCTGAGCGATCACCACTGGATACGAACGGCACAGAGCTGTAGTTCCAATCCCAAATTATCGGACAACAGAAATTAGTTCCAATCCCAAATTATCAGACAACAGAGCTGTGGTCTGAAATCTGAGGAGTTGCGGGAGAGTGGAACCCAGCGAGCAAGGGGCTTGTTACATTAGGCTCTGTTCATTTGTATATCTATGAGGTTATACATGTGTTTCTACAAACAGTGTACCACCGATTCCTTGATGAAGCATTCTGCAAAGCGCATCGGAAGCATCACATGCCACTAGAAACAACTGAATTGACATTTTGAGATTGTGATTGAGCTACATTCTATGCCTGTCCATATGTTCACTACTCAGATACTCTGTAACATGTGGCTGTGGGAGGTATTGTTTAACCTGGTGCATTGAAAAGGCGTCTCTCCCATCCTCTGGAACATAAATTTCAAGAATTTCAATTCCTCCAGCTACATCCAAAATTTCAGAGTTTCATTTTTGGCAGTTTGGAATCCCAAAAGACTTCTGGGAGAAATGCCTACAGGCTGCTCCAAAAGCTGCTTCTGCCTTATATCTTCTTCTGCTGTTGCCTTATATCTGCTTCTGCCGGTGCCACCAGGTCCCACTCTTCTTTCCAAGCGGTGTAGACAGTTTTTTTGGCCCCATCATTTCAGCAGGCAAGGTTTTGCATTTGCTCCTAAGTAATATTTACTATTTCGTGCCTGGTTCAGATTTTCAATGGTTTTATTGGGACTTCCAGTTCAGAAAGTCCAAATTTCAAATTCTTCAAACGTTTGACCAAAGAACAACTGGTCGACTCTAAAAGTTCACTCATTTGTAGTTATTAAAAAGATATGAAGTTATAATTGTTTCAAAGATAATTTTATGTGTTTCCTGCTCACAGGCTTCAGTCTGGGTTCTACTATTCAGTCTCAGACCAAAGGTATCTGGATGTGGTGTGTCCCTCACCCCATGTATAAGGATCGTGTTCTGGTTCTCTTAGACACAGAAGGCCTGGGGGACGTAGAGAAGGTGAGAATGTTAAAATGAGACTTTACTAATTATAATGGTTTCATATTGCCCAGAAGCCTTTTTTGGGTATTTTGTAGACATGTGACCCACATAAAGTCACATGACCGTGTCTGTAATGCAACCCCCAACAGCCAAAAAACACATCTGATTGGCCAGAGAACAGTCACATGTGTGATTTAGTTTTAGTTTGAATTAAATTCAGATGAACCCGAATTTTGGTTAAATGAACATTTGGATTCGTTCACGTTCAAATTAAGAGGCATCTGAATGTCCGAATGTAACAATATTCGTATGATTATCCATTGGGAACACAACGAAATTTAAATGTCTGGTATTTTGTATTTTCCATATTGATCAATAAAATGGAATATTCAGTTTTATGGTTTGTGAAGATGAAATGTGTTATTTATTGTCTTTTGTTCTCCTTTACCACTCTGTCCAACCAGTTATGAACACATGTGCAAAGTTCAGAGAATTTCTCAACACATTTAAGTAGGGATGCACTGATATATCGGCCGCCGAAAAATATCGGCCTAAAATGGCACTTTTTGGCTAAATCTTTCTGCCGATACAGCGGCGCATCCCTGCTTTCCTCCCAGC